GGCTGCGGGCTTCGGGCTCGACGGGGGCGGGGGAAGCTGCACGGCTCCGACGGGCCCGGGCCCGAAAGGCTTGGGCCAAAACTTCTACTACGGAAAGAGGAGGGATGAGGAGGAGGAGGAGGAGGAGGAGGAGGAGGAGGAGGAGGAGGGTGAGGAGCGCAACCCGGGTGGTGGCACGAAAACAGAAACACGAGCCCCAGGGGCAAGGACGGCGGTTCTCCCTGGAGAAGCGGAGGTGGCCAAGGCCCAACCAAGAGCCAGTGGGCAGGCCAAGCCCGGAGGAACTCCACGACACATCAGAGGCTGGCCCTGGGGACCCTCCTGGGGCCGCTCGTTCCACTTTTGCGCCGTACCGCGTCGAAGGCCCGTCGACTCCAGCAGAGCTGGAGCCGAGCTGGAGTTGAAGTAGGAGTCGAACAGGTCCGCCAGCTGGCCCCAGGAAGGTCCCCTACACGAGATGCCGATGCACCCCGCCGATGCAGAGCTACACGCAGCGGGACTTGCTATGGAGATGGGGCGGGAGCTCAGGCCTTCCCGACGTCGTGATCTGCTCGACACGAGGCCCACGAAAGCCCCGACCCGCCGCCAAGGGTCGGCCTTTTTCGCCCCGAGCTGCTCTCCGAATGCCCCTTTCGGAGGGACAAGAGGGACGCCATGACAGGATCAGCGCAGGATGCGTTCCAGCAGTTCCAGAGCATCTAGCGGCCCTCGCTTCTGGAGCCCGAGCGAAACAGCAGGAGATCTTGGCAATCCTGGGCCCCTTGGAACACAAGGAACGTATCGTTATCTTGACATCTTGCTCCTCTGACTTGGACCAGAGAGGAGCCCCTTGTTTCATTCGTTTCATTCGCGATAACGCCTGCGACAAATCCCGCCCCCCACCCCCAGGGTCACGTCTCGATTCGCGCTGGCGCCGTGTTGGCACACATCTGGCCACTCCTGAGCATTCCCAAGCGCCACCGGCGCGCGCAAGTCGTGACGTGGCTGGGCCCCCTCCCGCCCTCCCCTCCCCCCCCCGTCACGCCGCCCGTTCTCGCCCAGGTACACGTCGTTCATTTCTAATCGCGCTCATTTCTAGTTGTGCTCGTTTCTAATTGTTCCTGGCCCCCTAGTGGCGAGGAAGAGGCCCAGTAGAGAACAATTAGAAATGAAAGGAACTTGCCCCCCCCCCCCCCCCAAAAAAAAAAAAAAAAAAAAAACTTTCGAAGAATTGTTCACTGCGTGGAGCTCCCCATATGTGCATCTATTCGCATGGACCTGTCCGCCTTGAATGTCTAGGCGCAAGAGCTTTCGAATATAAACGAGCTTCAATTGTGACGGTCTGGTCATGATTCTAACTGAGAATGAATTGAAATATGAATGAGCCCCAGTAGTACGAGCGCGTCTCTGCGCATGAGCCTGGGTCCTCCTGGGGCCTCCTGGGGCCTCCTGAAACCTACTGGGGCTTCCTGGAGCCTCCAGGAGCCTCTTGGGGCCTCCTGGGGCCTCCTGGGACCTCCTAGGGAGGATTCGTACCCAGGAGAGGCCCAATCTATAGCAACAGACGTACATAAAACATTGCGGATTGGAGCCGCAGGAGAAGGGGGCAATCTATAAGAACACACGTAAAACACCAAGGACTCGTGCCCCAGAAGAGGCCCTATAGGAACAGAAGTACATAGGAGAAGGACAATCTATAGAAACATACGCATAACATCAAGGTTTCGTGCTCCAGGTGAGGCCCAATCTATAGGAGCATATGTAAAACACATGGGATTGGAGCCACTCCTGTTGCCTTCTGAGGCCTCCTGCTCCTGGGGCCTCTCGGGGCCTCCTGTTGCCTTCCGAGGCCTCCTGGCGCTTCCTCTGGCCTCCCGGGGCCTCCTGTGGCTTCCTGAGGCCTCCCGGAGCTTCCTGGGGCCTCTTAGAGCCTCTTGGGACATCCTGTGGCCTCTTGAGCCGGTCTGTGGCCTCCTGATGCCTCCTGGGACCTCATGTGGTCTCCTGGGGCCTCCTGGAGCTTGTTGAAGCCTCCTGTGGCATCCGCAGCCTCAGCCTGCATCAGCCTCAGCCTCAGCCTCAGCCTGCCTCAGCATCAGCCTGCCTCAGCCTCAGCCTCAGCCTGCCTCAGCCTCAGCCTCAACCTGCTTCAGCCTCAGCATCAATCTGCCTTCAGCCTCGGCCTCAGCCTCCGCCTGCCTCAGCCTCAGCCTGCATGAGCCTCAGCCTCAGCCTCAGCCTGCCTCAGCATCAGCCTGCCTCAGCCTCAGCCTCAGCCTGCCTCAGCCTCAGCCTCAGCCTGCTTCAGCCTCAGCCTCAGTCTGCCTTCAGCCTCGGCCTCAGCCTCAGCCTGCCTCAGCCTCAGCCTGCCTCAGCCTCAGCCTCAGCCTCAGCCTCAGCCTCAGCCTGCCTCAGCCTCAGCCTCAGCCTGCCTCAGCCTCAGCCTCAGCCTGCTTCAGCCTCAGCCTCAGCCTCAGCCTCAGCCTCAGCCTGCCTCAGCCTCAGCCTCAGCCTCAGCCTCAGCCTCAGCCTCAGCCTCAGCCTCAGCCTGCCTCAGCCTCAGCCTCAGCCTCAGCCTCAGCCTGCCTCAGCTCAGCCTCAGCCTCAGCCTCAGCCTCAGCCTCAGCCTCAGCCTCAGCCTGCCTCAGCCTCAGCCTCAGCCTGCTTCAGCCTCAGCCTCAGTCTGCCTTCAGCCTCGGCCTCATCCTCAGCGTGCCTCAGCCTCAGCCTGCATCAGCCTCAGCCTCAGCCTCAGCCTGCCTCAGCCTCAGCCTGCCTCAGCCTCAGCCTCAGCCTGCCTCAGCCTCAGCCTCAGCCTGCTTCAGCCTCAGCCTCAGTCTGCCGTCAGCCACGAAGTGGCCTACAGTTGGCTCCGGGCATTCAAAATGTGGCCCAGGAGTGGAATTCTGGGAACTCGAAGACCACGAAGTGGCCTACAGTTGGCTCCGTGCATTCAGAATGTGGCCCGGGAATGGAGTTCTGGGACCTCGAAGACCACGAAGTGTGTAACTGTTGGCTAAAAAAACTCCCCGGCACTCCCCCGGATCGCGCCCAGATCTTTTGACCCTACTAGAAACCTATCAGTCTTCGCTGTTAAGTAAAAACATGCAAACCGCTTGAGACATCCCCACAAAACGGCCGCGAACGGGACCGTGAGATAACCCCTGGCGCCTCCCGTTAGAGGGGTGAAAATGAGCACCTCGCTCGAGACATCCTCCAAATCTGTTCCGAAAGCGAAGGATGCTGAGACAGAAAACAGGCAAACCGCCTGAGACATCCCCACAAAACGGCCGCGAACGGGACCGTGAGATAACCCCTCGGCGGCCTCCCTTAGGGGGGTGAAAATGAGCGCCTCGCTCGAGACATCCTCCAAATCTGCTCCGAAAACGAAGGATGCTGGGACAGAAAACATGCAAACCGCTTGAGACGTCCACACAAAACGGCCGCGAACGGGACCGTGAGATAACCACTGGCAGCTCCCCTCAGGGGAAGCTGAAACCAGCGCACGCCGCACCTGCAACATCCTCACAATCTGCTCCGAAAACGCAGGATGTTGGGACAGAAAACATGCAAACCGCTTGAGGCATCCCCACAAAACGGCCGCGAACGGAGCGTGCGTGAGTCTCAGCATAAGTAAGTCTGAATAGGAGTAGGTATGTGTGTGAGTAGGTATGAGTATGAAGAATGTTGTGTGTGAGTAAGCCTGGGTATGAGTAAGTCTGAGTGTGAGTGTGAGTCAGTCTGTGTATGAGTAAGTCTGGGTATGAAGAGGAGAGGGGAGGAGAAGGAGAAGGAGAAGGAGAAGGAGGAGTAGGAGGCGCCCAAGTAACAATTATTCACTGCGTGGAGCTCCCCATATGTGCATCTATTCGCATGGACCTGTCCGCCGTGAATGTCTAGGCGCAAGAGCTTTCGAAGATACACGGGCTTCAGTTGTGACAGCCTGGACATAAATCTAACTGCGAATGAATTGGAGTGTGAATGAGCCTCAGTAGTACGAGCGCGTCGTTGTGCATGAGCCTGGGGCCTCCTGAGGCCTCCTGAAACCTACTGGGGCTTCCTGGAGTCTCCAGGAGCCTCTTGGGGCCTCCTGGGACCTCCTAGGGAGGTTTCGTGCCCCAGGAGAGGCGCAATATATAGCAATAGACGTACATAAAACATTGCGGATTAGAGCCCCTGCTTTAAATTACAAGGCAGCCCGTGCAGCACGAGCCGATCCTGCCGCCAGGGAGGCGAGAGCCGCAAAATGCGGCAAGGAGGCTCCGCAAACAGCGGCCTCCAAGAAGCAGCGCGCTCGCCGCGCCGCGTGGGTGTGCGCCGTCAGGTGAGGCAGCCACGCGAGCCACCATCCACCCCGTGCCGAGCCTGAAAAAGCTCAGACCACCGAAGGCACTCCCCACCTCATTCACTCAGGCGCTTGCCCGTCTTCGGGTCCAAGCCTGCCCTGATATTGGCGACCTTCAGGTTGCGCAGGCGCAGCGCGTTGCCTGAGGCTGCGACGCACGTCTTGCCGAGCGTCCTGTGCTTGCCGTTGATCTCCTTTGCGTAAGCTTTGCAACGCGTGCAGATCCTGAATCCGTGGATGCTGAGCAGCGCGTGGCCCGCTCCTTCAGCATCCTGGGTGCCGGATCCCCCAGGCTCGTCCACCTGCATGGCGTCCTGGGCGTCCTCGGGGCCTGCGCCCACCTGGCCGTCGGCGGGGTCCGCCGCCGCCGCGCTCTGAGCCTCGCGCGCAGCACGGGCGGCGGCCACCGCACGCATGAGGGCAGCACCAGGCGAAGGGTCCTGGCCGCTGCTGCTGCTGCTGCTGCCCCAGCCGCCGCCGCCTCGGGACGTCGCAACGCCCGCGTGCCCGCAGCAGGTGGCTCGCGAGCGGCGCCGAAGGGGCTCGGCGCAGCCTGCTGGAGCTCGGGCTCGGAGACCGCCGCGATCTCGTCGTCCTGTGCGCTCTGAGCCTCCTGCTCGAGCCTGCGCGCCGCCGCCAGCGCCACCGCCACAGCACCTGCAGAAGCCAAAGCCGA